AACGGATGGATGCGACAGGAGAGATGGAAATACACTTCAAACACATTATTATCGCACAGCAGTGAATTTTGTGAATAATATAAGAAAGATATTACTGCACACAAACGAACGGGTTTAATCACAGGCGTGCGCACATTCAGGCCGCTCGACCAACCATCAACTGCGAACCCTAACGACTGAATAGCTATAAGATGAGTCGCTCAAGAACGGCGTCGAACGCGGTGACGCCAGTGACGAGTCGCCCTACGCCGCCCTCCAAACGCAAACCCTAGAGCTTCAATCGAAATGCAGGCGAAATGTAGGCGAAATGTAAGCCAAATGCAGGCGAAATGCAGGTGAGCGGGCGATGGCTTACCACGTTGAGGCGCTTCAGAAGGTCGTCGAAGACGGCGGTATTGACGGACCAATTGCACGTCTCCTTCTTCGCCTCCGCGATGCCCACGCCTGGCGGGAACGGATGAACGACGGGGGGCGGAAGGGAAAAAAAAAACCGGAATATATTCTGTTGAGGCGCATTAAAAGGACGGCGGTATTGACGGACCAATTGCACGTCTCCTTTTTCGCCTTCGCAATCCCCACGTCTGGCGGGAGCGGATGACGGACGAAAGGAAGAGAGAGGAGGCAAGAAGTCAGTGGCCTGCCAAGTCACTTCGATCATGCTCTGCTGCGTCCTACATACTAAACACTCCCATCGCATGCCTGTGCTGTTGCAAAGTCTATAAACAGAACCTTCAACACACTCCCCTGGCGTACCTGCCGTGTCGAATTTCTTCGTAACGCGCACGTGAGTCGCGATGCCTTGCCCGTTCTTCCCCAGCCCTTTGCCCTCCTCCCAGCCCTGCGATCAAAACACAGAGACGAAATCAAGAATCAACGGCGAGCGATGAACTGTCTGCGGGGACACGGAACGAGCCACTACACGGACGGTGGGTTCGTGGCGATGCAGGGAGCGCTTGAGCCACGAACGAAGGAAGAGCCCGAACCACGCAGATATGGACGAATTGCCAGGGTAACCACATACTCGGCTCCTCCCCCCCAGGCCGAGAACCACGAGATCCGCTGCGAAGGCCAATGCGAAACCAGCACCATCAGACTACACACCCCCGCATTCATCATTCCCCTGCAAGCGTGAAAAACGCTCGGCACGCACCATGTTCTTCATGAGCTTGAAGCCGAGTGAGTCCTTCTCCACGCCTTGGAACAGGCGCGCTCCCTCCTTCACCACCGGCCCCGCCATACTGCTCCACTCGCGGGATTCAGAAGATATTACTGCGACGATAGTGACAGGGGACGGCGACGGCGGCGGTGGCGGCGACGACGGCGAGTACGACCCCGCAGGACAGCGGCTCGACGGTGCACTGACACAAGTAACGATTCCAACGCACCAAACGCGCTTCAAGGAGATCGAGTGCGCGAGAAGCTTTCAATACGCGGGAGAACCCTCGCAAGCGAGGGAGGGAAACCCTAAAAAGGGCACGGAGGCTCCAGCAGGAGCAAAGAGAGCAAATGTTGCTGGGCCGTGAGTGAAATAGGATGGAGGGGAGGAGGGTGGTGGGTGGTGCGACTTGCAAGCACGTTGGCGGTGGGTGCAAGCGGCCGCCGCGTGGAGCGGAATTGGTCGGTGAGGCACGTGTGGTTGGAGATGGCACATTAGAGCAAGTTCGGTTGGTTCGGTTTCCACGCGGTTGAGTTGGGCGCAAATTCGATTCTTTTGGGCGTGGTATGCCACAATGATAACAGCAATTCGATAAGAGCGAAACATCTCGCGTTCCGATAGCAGTGTTACATCCCTAAACAAGAAGATTCTCTTAAACATGGTACAACGTATTATATTGACATAGGCACAACAATAAGCAAACCAAACTGGATGCAGATCCAGATCTTGGAAGCCAACGCATACATCATTTCGCATGTGACAATGGAGAGAGGTGGCACCTGGACATGGGGAAAGGGTGAAAAACACACACGCATGGCCAAATTGGAAAACAACAGGAATCTCTGCCCACAAAATATATGTGCAACCAGGCACACCAGAGCATGAACCAACAGGTACACATACCCGAGTAATCCTCGTCCGCCCCATCGCCGTGGAGTCACCAACAGCTCGACAACATTCCCGGCCCTCAGCACTGTCATGTTCACCCCTCGCCCCTCACTCCCCTGCAGCTCTGCAGCCACCTGCTTCAGCAGCTCCGCCCCTCCTCCAGCCACCCTGCTTCCCCCTCCCCCTTCCCTTCCCTCTGTTACTTCACCAGCAGGAGCACCGTCAGCAGCAGCAGCACCGCCACCAGCAGCCGCAGCAGCGACGGAGCCAAATCGGAGCAGCCTGTCTCCCAGCCTCACACCATCTACCTCTGCTGGACTGCCAGGTGTCACCTCGTCCACCATTGCGAAGGGCTTGGAGGAAGGGAGTGCTGCTGCAGTAACATCAGCATTGGGAGCAGCAGCTGAAGTAGAAGTGGCAGCAGGAGAAGCTGCAGGTGCAGTAGCAATTGCTGATGGAAGTGTGGAATTCGGTCCGTCTGTCTTTGCTGGTTTTTGCTCCCTGGGTTTGGCCTGCGAGTGGATCTCCACCAACAGCGACTCAATCTGCCCCGTCAGCTGCTTGTGGTCCGCGTGGAGCACTGCGATTGGTCGGCAGCACCAGGGAGTGTGGGAACAGGAATGGTGTGAGTTGCATTGCATTGGATGATCCACAGCCAAACACAGGAAAAACAGGCAACTAAGAGAGCCTAAAAAAAGTTTCTGCTAGCACGATAAATACATAGGGAAACAGGCCAGAAGATGAGGTGTTGACAGCAAAAAGAAAAAGTCATGGCCATCCCAAGAGCTGTGAGCTAGCCCCAATGAACTCCAATGGCGGTTGAGGAACTCCACTTGCAAGCAGGGGCGAGAGAGGAAGGTAGTGGGAGAGGCAGTGGTGGTGGCATGAGCTGAGCCTTACTTGCGAGGCGGTGTCGATCGCTGCGGACTCGAGGAATGTCGATGTCTGCACGTGGAAAGCCCTGAAAAAAAGGAGGGATGAGGGAGAGAGCAAAGGAGGCGGAAGAGATATTAGACGTAACCATGTTCCGTTTCATGGTGTCTGTCTCACAGTCAGGCGATGCTTCCTGCAAATCCACACACACTACGTCTGCTGTTGCAACAAGACACACACTAGCCCCGCGAGCAAAGAAACTTTTGCACTTCTCTTTGCAACGGAGGTCCCCATCAAGCCTGGCGCCGTGGTTTCTGTTGGAAGTAGACACTGGAATGGCCCAAAGTGATCTCCCTAAGGGCTACAGGTGTTGTCCTCGGGGGTATGGGTGCGCTGACCCACCAAAGAAACATGCCCTTTTATCCCAGTTGGTTAGCGGACTGGAATGCTATCCCTGCAGTTTCGTCACCGTATTTTGATGATTCTAAAAGAACGACATATTCCCGTCATCCCTGGAGCCAAATACTCCAATTTACGCCTCGCTTCTTGATCTCTCGAGCAGACCTCGCCTCTTGCTCACTCGAGCAGACCTCGCCTCTTGCTCGCTCCTACCATCCTCTCCTCATCTCCTGCCAGCCAGCCTCGCATCCCACTTTCCTTACTTTCTCCGGAACCACACCCCTACATTCTTAGAGTCTGCTACACTGCAAGAATCACTCTCGCTATTCCGCCTCCGCCAGGCGCGTTCACTCTCGTGACTTCTGAGTCAGACTCAAATCTCGCCACGAAAGAAATACTACATACGCCCTACCTCCTTATCCACCAGGCTCTCGTTGGTTCCGCCTCCTCCAGGCGCGTTCAATCTCGCGGCGAGCGCGTCGATCTGAGCCTCGAGATTGTCGCGCCGCTCTATCAGCTGCTTCGCCTGCTCCCGCAGCGCCCCCGTGTCCGCCATACCCATACGCGTTTTGCGTTTGCTACTCGTTTACGTGCAACGTTCGTCTCCAGCCAATCCTGGCAACGACGATTCGTTAGAGATGCAGAGGCTGTGATTGCTGACGGAAAAAAAAAAACCGTGAGAACGGGCCTTGGCAAGTATGAGTCTTTCGACGCGCTGCCTGCGAGGACCCCTAATTAATACCGTGTGATTGTCGGGAGGCTACTAAAATATCCGTTTTAGTTAATACAGGCGCTAGTTATCGAAAGTCCGAGCAGGACAATCAACGTGCGCTCGCTGCGTACAGCAAAGCGGGTCGGAAATTCCAAATGACGGAAAGCGGAAGGGAGATTTAGTTTTTTCAGTGGCATTCCCGAATCTCGAGGTCGTGGATCCTTGGTTTTTTCTGGCAGAATCCACCCCATGTAGGGGCAGGTCCGTGCGTATACATAAATTCGAGATCGTAGTTCAGGTCATTCAGTCAGACCTGGTAACCGATAGTGCAGTTAAAAATGTCAGGTGTCACTTCAATTTCAGTTAGAGTATCTCCTGTTTCCAGAAAATGTTCTGTATTTGGACCCCACTTACAGAACCCCCCTCAAGGAAACTACCGCAAACCAGCTGAATATGCTGGGGTGCGACTGTGCGACCCGCACAGTATCGCACATGATTCATCGCATCAACGATCATCTGGCTGATGGCTGATCGTCTCGGCTCATGCTGAGGCACATTCAGCTTCGACCCTCTCGATTTGAGAGATGGATGATAGTTGATGGCGAATGGATGCCTCATGAGTCATGGTAGCCCAAGAGCGAAAAGATTGAAGTGATTGTCAGCGAATACCGCTTGTAATCTCCTGGAATCTCGTACATCTTGTGGTTCGGAATCTAGAACCGTCTCTTTGAGCCAGTGGGAAATCTAGTACTCGCTATGGCCATTTTTCGCCGATCCATTCTGCTGTGGCTTCAGGCCGCCGTTATTCTGATCCCAGCCATCCTCGTTATAGGACCGCATTTCGACGTAAGGCTGCCGCTCATTGCAGCGCAGCGCGCCGATTGGTCGAGGGAGTCAGGTGGAGGAGGAGAGGGAGCAGGCGGAGGCAGTTTCGCTGAAACTTCGTCGCTCTCATACGCGTGTCCCCAGGAAATGGCGTCGCGTCCACACTCTGATAGCTTCGATCCCTGTGAGTCCACTCTCGAATCTTATCTTTGATTTCATTTTATCCGCGAATCTGCAAATGCCTCTACTGCCGCCCAACTCTGATAGCTTCGATCCCTGTGTGTGCACGTCCCAGCCTCTCCTTGATCGTCCCACCCTCGAATCGAATCTCTCCACCGCGTTCGTCGCTTTTGTCCGCCCGCGCGAGCAGCCTTATCTCGTCGGATTTGCAGAGTACCCAAACACAATCAACAGTTTTGAGGCGCCTCAAAACTAGTACCCAAGCACAATCAACGGATTTACTCCCCTGCCACCCAAGCACACGACCCATTTCTCACCCTCCTTCCCCTCACCCCTTCTCCCCCTGTGTTTTCCGTTGCCTTCTTCCGTTTTATTGCCCGCCAAGTTCATATCAGTGAGTCGCCTCTACCAGCACCTGCCTACTGAAACCCCCACCCCACCAACCAACCTACCAACCCCCCCCACCCCATCCCTCCCCACTCCCCCTTCCCCCGTGTCCCCTCCAGCTTCCCCCTCCCCTTCCCCTCTCTGCTTTCCCCCTCCCCCTTACAAGCACTCTCCTTATTATCCGTCGAGTTCATATCAGAGGGTCGCCTCTACTAGCAGCAGCTCGCCGTTCTCCCCTTCCCCCCTCATCCCTCCCGCTTTGTCTCTTCCCCTTCCCCTTTCCCCCTTCCCCCTGCAGCCTCCTTACAAATCGCCAGGTTCATTTCATCAGAGGGTCGCCTCTACTACCAGCAGCTGCCTACTGAAAGCTCACCCACGTTCCCCCTGCTCCCCTTTTCCCCTCTGCTTTCTCCTTTCCAATATTCCCCTTACAAGCAGCCTCCTTATTATCCGCCAAGGTCATATCAGTGGGTCGCCTCTACCAGCACCTGCCTGGCTATTGATCGTCCTCCCCCTTCCCCTCTTCTCCCCGTTCCCACTCTTCCCCCATCCCCCATTCCGCTTCCCTCCCCCTTCCCCTCTTCTCCCCGTTCCCACTCTTCCCCCTTCCCCCATCCCGCTTCCCTCCCCCTTCTCCTTCCCCATCCCCGCTACGAGCAGCCTCCTTACTATCCGCTAAGTTCATATCAGTGGGTCGCCTGTACGAGCAGCTCAGCAAGGCTCGGCTGCATCTGGGGGAGGCGTTATCTGTGGCGCGCCACACAGGCCGCACCCTCATCCTTCCGTCCGTTGGGAACAGTAGGATCGGCACTGTAGCGGATTACGCCTTCCCTTTCTGCACTTATTTCGACCCGGGCAGGCTCGGGCAGTTTGTGCCATGAGATGCCAAAATGAAGGCGTGTGACGTGGTGGGTGTAATGCGGTGCTGCGGGGTGGAATGCAATGGGAGGCTATGATTTGAGACCTGATGGGTATACCGGATTGGTAAGGGGTGCAATGCGGTTGTATTTCAGACTCTGAGGGTCTATCAGGGGAGGGAGTGCGGTGGTGCTGGTGCTGGGGGGTGACAAGATGAAGGCGGCGTGTGACGTGGTGGTTGCAAATGGGTCCCATGGGATGGAATGCGGTGCTGGGTATAACGGGGTGGTGTGTGGTGCATCAGCATTAGAGAGTGTGGTGGCGCCGGTGTTGGAATTTGGCAAGTGACGCGGTGGGTGTAAAGGGGTTTTGAGGGGTGCCATGGGGTGAGAGCTATGATTAAGCTCGGATGAGTATACTGTATTGCTCAAGGGTACAATGCGGTTGGGATAGAATTGTGAGGGTGTACCAACCTTAGAAAGTGTGGTGGCGTTGGTGCTGTGGATGGCAAGATGAAGGCGTGTGATGTGGTGGGTGTAAAGCGGATGCTAGATACCTTTTTCTCTTTTTTCTTTTTCCGTTGATTGTAAGGAGGGAGGTAGGCACTGATGTCTCTCTCCGTCCCAGCCCCTCCTTTTGACCCTCCACCTTCTCCCTCTACTCTCGGGCGCAACACCCACTCTTTCACACTCCAGCACAACTTGTACCTCTGTGTGCCAATGGCTTCCTTACTCCCTGCTCCCACTCCCCCATCCCAATCCCTCTTTTTCCATTCCAGTAGAGGGCATCTTATGCCAAGATCGGCCGCAACACCAACACTCCGGGTCTCCAGCCCAACGCCTCTCTCCGTGCGGACCCCTCTCTTCTCCTCAACCGCGCTCTCCTCTCCCCCGCCCTCTGCACCCGCACCTGCACCACTAAACGCCGCGCCAAGCCGCCCAGCGCCGAGGACCTGCTCGGAAGAGACAGCGGTGCTACAGTGCTGCCTGGGGAGGAGCCGATGGTGGCACTGGGAAGAACGGGCGGCGAGGTTGGGGAGATGGAGGATGAGGACGGGAAAAGAGAAAAGGAAGGCGAAGGTGGGAATGAGAGGGAGAGACGGAAGGGAGAAGAGAGAGAAGGGTCGGTTATTGGTGGGGAGAAAGGCAAGGAAGGGTCTATTCTTGGGAAAGACGAACCTGATCGGAATGCTGACGTGGCAGTGGTGTTCAAGTCGTCGCCGCTGATGTGTCTTTCCCGGATAGGCCGGCTGGCGTCCGAGGCCCGGCGGTCCCTGGTGTACCCGCCGCACCTGCACCTTGCAGCGGATCACCTTATAACGAAGCACATCCAACTGCAAGCAGGTGGGGAGAGCGGAGGGGGCGGAGAAGAGGACAGTGCAGAGAATGGGGAAAGGGGGCAAATGCATGGAGGAGGGGGCGGGGGAGGCGGCGGGGGAGGGGGCGAGGGGGTGGTGGTGGTGGCGGCGCACTGGCGGGTGGAGAAGGCTCTACGGGCGGGAGTGCGGCAGCGGCAGATGGCTGCCTGCGCTCGAGGGCTCGTGGACACTGTCAGGGGGTGGGCCACGCGGGTAGGGGGGGTGAGTGGGGGGAGTGGAGGGAGGGAGAATGAAGGAGCAGGTGGGGCGGAGGGGAAGGAGGGTGGTGAGCAGCAGGTGGCGGTGTTTCTGGCCACGGATCTGACTCCTGACAACAGGTGTGCGGCTGCTTCGTGTGTTTCTTTATATGATTGATCAGAAACGGTGTTTCTGGCATTGGACCTGACCTGACTCCCAGTCAGTCCTGACAACTTGATGCCGTCAGAAATGGTGTTCCTGTGCGGAGGTGCTTCTTTGCCCATGCCGTCACATGGATCATGCACAGGTCCAGCTCCATTCTTTGCCCACAGAGTACAGGGTACTCAGAATGGAGCATGGATCATCCACCACTTACTTCCCTGTGCTCCATCAGAGTACTCAGAATGGAGCACAGGGAAGCTCATGGCCCCGAATCCCTCTGCTTCTGCCCCATACCCATCCCCACCACCATCCTCATTCCCATCTCGATCCCCATCCCCATCCCCATCCCCATCCCTTTCCACATCCCCATCCCCATCCCCATCCCCCCATCCCCATCCCCATCCCGATCCCCATCCCATCCCCATCCCCATCCCCATCCCCCCATCCCCATCCCCATCCCGATCCCCATCCCATCCCCATCCCCATCCCCATCCCCATCCCCATCCCCATCCCACCCCCATCCCCATCCCCATCCCCATCCCCATCCCCATCCCCATCCCCATCCCCATCCCCATCCCCATCCCCATCCCATTCCCATCCCCATCCCCATCCCCATCCCCATCCCCATCCCCATCCCCATCGCATGTCATCAGGTGGATGTCCAACTCCTTCACTGTACTCAGCAAGGAGCACCGGGACGTGGCTTTAAGAACAGTGCAGGTGAGCTCATTAGCACCTCGTTACAAGAACATACTTATCACTTGCTGTCAGGTGGATGTCCAACTCCTTCACTGTAAGAGCACCGGGACGTGGCTTTAAGGACAGTGCAGGTGAGCCCCTGTTCACTCACACTCCTCCTCCACAAACCCTGTGCACGTGCTGCTGGAACTGTTATCTTCCTTCGAGAACAGGTCAGGAGCTTCATGGAGGAGAATTATATTTTAGAGTTCCCAAACTCTCTCAGAAAGAGACTCATGCTCTCACATGGGCTGTCACACTGTGATTCTGTTTTTCTAGTCGTTTCGAAGTTTCATGCTCTCAAATGGGCTGCAGTGCGGATCTGCAAGTGATCCATCCCTCCCTCCCTCCCGTCTTTCTCCCCCACCTGCCCGCTTTCTCTTTCCTTCCAACCAACCCCTCTGTCATTCAGTCAAGCTTCTGCATGTGGTTCCGACCAATCACTTGCACTGCTGAAAACCTTTTTCTGAGGTGCCTCAAACTCCACCCCCACCCCCTTCCCCACTCCCCCTCGCCCTCCTCCTCCCTCTCCTCACCTTTCGTACCCCCTTCCTTCCTCGCTTTCTTCTTCCCAACCTCATTCTCGTTCCAGTTGATGCATGGGGAGCTTCGACCAATCACATGGGCTGCTGCTGATTCCTCTGTCCCTCAGCTGGACACAGGCGTGCAGGTGAGATCTCATGCTTGCATTCTTTTGTTATGCTGGCTTGCCATTTTGAGAACGAATGTACGGTGGATGGATTCTCAGCTGGATACAAGGCGTGGAGTGGAGGTGAGGCCTCATGATTGCATGTCCCTTAGAAGTTGCTTGACATGGTTTGCACATTTGGAGAGATGTACAAACCATCATAATAGTTGCCATATAAATCCGTGATTCCTTTTTCATAAAACCACTTGCGTTCTCTGTGTTGTGCTTGTATTGAAATTATCAATTTTGCTCACCTCATATTTATCGCATCCTATTTGGTCTTGCTTTATTGCTGCGTCCTGCTGACTTCTTACAGGCCATCCTCGATAAGCTAGTGTGCATTAAAGCTACAGTGTTTCTTCATGCACCAATGGCTTGTACGGGTGCACATGACCCACATGGGTCAAGCTTTACAGAAGAAATATGTGCGAGTAGAGAAGTGGGGGATATTGATGCAGGTAGTGAAGGTGACGGTTTGCTACGCAACAAATGCACGACATGGGATGTGGATGAAGTGTAAGAATTGACATGCATACCAAAAAAAAAAGTTTTTTGTACAAATGTTACTGTATTATTATCTAGGATTCTTCTTCGTTATAGAACATAGGGAACCCCTGGAGCCCAGTTTGGTGCGAAGCGACGCGACTTTCGGGGCCATCCACAACGGGACGGGAATCCCAAGGGCCAACTCGAATATTCCCGAGAGCTGTCAGAGAGCTTGCTCGAGTAAAGCTAGACGGTGAGCCTGAATGCCTGTTAGCCAGCGAGATCATCTGCATGATAATCAGGACACGAGGCTTTTCCGGACCCACCACTTCCGTCTCTCACCGGGGTGTGACTTGCCCCGCTTTTTGAAAATCGAATCCACAGAAAGTGTGGATCCGCTTTGGAACGACCAACGCAGAACGGCTGATCCGTCTACTTACATAAGCTTTTCGCAGGAGTCCTGGCGCCTCGTGGTGTCGTTTTTGCCTGACGAGCAGCCGCGCAAACGATCAATGGCAGCTTCCGATACCTCCGCCAGCGCCGGCGCCGCCTCAGGGCCGTCGACAGCTGTCCTCGTGGCTGGCGGAACCGCAGCAGCAGCAGCCGCGTTGTATCTTGTATTGAAGCCGCTGTACGAGAGGTTCTTGAGACGCGACGTGCCGTTCGGCCCGGATACGCATCCCGTCGCTGCGCTGCTGCTCAAACGCCGCCCAGTCCACGCCAGCCATAGGTGTGTTAACTGATCCCTTCAACACCTTCTTATGTTGAAGCCGCAATACGAGAGGTTCCTGAGACGCGACGTGCCGTTCGGACCCGATACGCATCCCGTCGCCGCGCTGCTTCTTAAACGCCGCCCAGTCCACGCCAGCCATAGGTACTTCAACTGATCCCTTTAAACGCTTTGTTTTCGTAAACATCTAGTTACAATCATACTAGCCACTACTACTTCTTTCTTTCATTACTACGCTCAGAAACAGCCATCAGGGGTGGAGCGTGTTGCAAGGATGGCCAGAAAGCAACATGGTTGCTCCTGCAGCTGATGATGCTGGCGGCCGTCTGAGGAGAGAGCATTACACTCAACCATCACACCTTTTGAGACGTCTGAAAAGTCGTCTGAGGAGAGAGCATCTGCTGCTGGAAGGATGATTACACTCAACCATCACGCCTTCTTATTGCTTTCTCTTTCCTTCTCCCTTCTTTCTCTCATCTCCCTCCCTCATCACCTCCCCTCATCGCGTCCCCTCATCTCCTTCCCTCATCGTCTTCCCTCATCACATCCTTCCCAGGGGTGGTGCGCGGGCATGGCCAGAGAACACCATGCTTGCTTATCGCAGCGCTGTTGGCATTGGCGCGGCAGGCAGTGCGCCGACCATTCTCTCCCCCTTTCCTTCACCTTTCCCCTCCCAGGGGTGGTGCGCGGGCATGGCCAGAGAACACCATGCTTGCTTATCACAGCGCTGTTGGTGTTGGCGCGGCAGGCAGTGCGCCGACCATCACTCTTAATTATGCTTCCATCTCTCTTTCCCCCTTTCCTTCACCTTTCCCCTCCCAGAGGGGGTGCGCGGGCATGGCCAGAGAACACCATGCTCGCATACCGCAGCGCTGTTGGCGTTGACGCTGCAGGTCGTGATACTGTTGCCACCTCTACAGACTTTGCCGCTCCTGGCGCTTCGGATGCTCCTCTCGCTCCTCATTCTCCCCATGCTCCTCCTCCTGATGCTGCTGCTGATGCTGCTGCGGCTCCTCATACTCCTGATGCTCCTTCTGGGGGTGCCGCCACTGCTGCGCCAGTGCTGCGCACACAGCTACTGGAAGTGGACGTGCAACTGACCAGGGACCAACAGCTGGTGAGACTCTGTTTCTATCCCTTCGCTGCTATTTCTGGGGTTCCGGCTGCTCCTACTGCACCGCTGCTGCGCACGCAGCCACTGGAAGTGGATGTGCAACTGACTAACGACCAACACTTGGTGAGACGCGTTTTTTTGTGCTTGTGCTCCATCTGCTGTTGCGGCTGCTGCTTCTGTGGCTGTTGCTGGGGGTGCGGCTGCTCCTTCTCCTGCTGTGCCACTGCTGCGCACGCAGCTACTGGAAGTGGATGTGCAACTGACCAGGGACCGACACTTGGTGAGACTCTGTTTCTGAGGCGCCTCATAAGTCGCTTCTGAGGTGCCTCAAAAAGAACTGGTGAGACTCTGTTGCTCTCCGTGTGCTGCTGCTTCTGCAGGCGCTGCTGCTGCTGCTGCTGCTGCTGCTGCTGCTGCTGCTGCTGCTGCTGCTGCTGCTGCTGCTGCTGCTGCTGCTGCTGCTGCTGCTGCTGCTGCTGCTGCTGCTACTGTTGCTGCTGCTTTGCCCCTTGCTGGCCATGCAACTGGGGCTTGGGATGGGAACTCTGTACAAAAAGTGGATGTGCTGTTGAGGCCTCTGGTTCCTGGAATGGCAAACACTGTTGAGATTCGTCTGCTGACTCGGTTGACTTGGTTGACTTGGTTGACTGGGGCGTGTGGGTGGCAGGTGTTGATTCACAACGTGACAGTGGATGAGACAACGGATGGCAGAGGGCTTGTGGAGAGCTACTCTTTGGAGGAGCTCAGGTGAGGGATCAGGTGAGAGATCAGGTGGGAGATCAGGTGAGAGGTCAGATGAGAGGTCAGGTGAGCACATAGGTGAAGTGACCTCAAGTGGATGGAGCTGTGCAGTGCAGTGGTGAATGGGCGTTCAGTGTGCATCAGAGCAAGGAAACGCCAGTCTCATGATTGTGCCATTTGCTGCTACTTCTGATTCATTTACACCCTTATTTATCCACTGTGCCGCGTGGCTGCAGGTCATTGGATGCTGGGTATCTTTTCACCCGAGATGGCGGCAAAACGTTTCCCTACAGAGGAAAGGGACTGCAGATACCAACACTTAGGGAGGTAAGGTTAGAAATACCAACACTTAGGGAGGTAAGGTTAGAAATACCAACACTTAGGGAGGTAAGGTTAGAAATACCAACGCTTGGACCTACTGCTGCAAATTCCCCACACTTGGATTCAAGTAAGGGATCTCTTAGATGCCAGTTCTCGCACTTAGATAAGTTCTGACAGTTGATTTGATACATCACCTTGAGGAGTAACAGTCGCCCACCTTCCCTCACCCACTGCCTGCCATCGCCTCTCACCCCTCGCCCGCCTCCCCCTGCCAGCTGTTTGACGAGTTTTGAGGCTACAATACAAGGACCTTGTCTTCTACCTCGAATTCAAGTCTTCCTCCCTCTCCCCCTCTCTCCATTCTCTTTCCCCACTATCCCCCGCCAACCGTTTGACGACTTTGCATTGCGCGCTGCAAGGACCTTGCCTTCTACCTACCTCGACTTAGAGTCCACTCTAAAGTCTTCCTCCCTTTCCCATTTCTTCACTCCCACACCCCCCCTGCTCTCCCCCGCCAGCTGTTTGACGAGTTTGCATTGCGCGCTGCAAGGACCTTGTCATCTACCTCGACTTAGAGTCGCCTTTTGAGTTGAATCCAAAGTCTTCCTCTCTCCCCCGCCCCCTCTCCACTCTCTCCCCTCCTCTCTCCCCCGCCCCCTCTCCTCTCTCTCCCCTCCTCTCTCCCCCGCCAGCTCTTTGACAAGTTTGCATGCAACAAGGATCTCGTCATCTACCTCCTCCTTTCGAGTCCACTCTAAAGTCTTCCTCCCTTTCCCCTTTCTCCACTCCCAATCCCCCCCCGCTCTCCCCCCCCAGCTCTTTGACAAGTTTGCACGCGAGAAGGATCTCGTCATCTACCTCGACTTCAAGTCGCCAGCAGCTGTTGCTCCCATGCTTCAGCTGTCACCTACCTGCCCACTGCCATTCCCTCACCCACTCCCCCCCCCCCCCCCCGCAGCTCTTTGACGAGTTTGCGAGCTACAAGGACCTTGTCATCTACCTCGACTTCAAGTCGCCCAGAGCTGTTGCGCCGACCCTTCAGGTGATGCTCTGTGGTCCTATCAACGTGTGGCTGTTGCTGCAATGACTGTGGTGACACTTCACGAACGGCTTACGGGAACGGCACATGGAGTGGAGTGAACCCGTTGTGACGCATGACAATTCTCAAACTTGACTCGGATTTAGCCGGTTTGAATTACCTACTACGGGAATGGCTCCTTTGACTCGAGTTGCCTTTCCACTGCCTGGTGTTCTCCACTCCACATGCTTATCTTGTTTTTCTTTCTTTCTCCCCTTTCGCTTTCATACCTCCTCTCTTCCTTTGAGGTGATGCATTACGAGCGTTGCAAGACTCCTTGAACCCTTTTCTCTTTTTTTTTGCATCTTTCCGTGACTGATTTTCATTCTGACGTCATCTTGATTTCGTACATCTGCATGTTTGTGCATGTGATGGCATGTGGGTCAGATGGTTCGAGAGTACGGTCTGCAGCAGCGCATCATGATGGGAGCCGTGCCTCCAGAAGCAAACAGAGAGGTGCGCTCACCCATGTGCTATGAGGTATGCATGTGCGAGTTTGCAGTGCATCACATGCATGTGCATGTGTTAGCATGTGCATGTGTGTGTGCATGTGCATGTGCATGTGTGTGTGCATGTGCATGTGTCATGCCATTCGTCCCTGTGCCGTTCTCACCTCCTAAGTGTGAATCGTGATATCATGTCACATCATGCTATTCCTGAGCAGGTACTCAGACTGAAGCCTAAGTGTGTGCCAGCCACACCTGACATTAACTCCATGATACTTATGTAAGAGGCTCTTTTAAACCTGAAACTCTCCTTCACTAAGTAGAAAATAAGGATTGCTCATGCGCTTTTAGTGCTCTCTAGCTGCCGCTGATGTTTTTCAGCTGATTCCTACTAAAATATTCATGCCACGTATGCTTTGCCACGTATGCTTTGCCACGTTGACCATTACTCTACTTCTGCAACAAGCACCTGCTACTTGGTTTTTCCCTCGTCCTTTAAACCGTCTTGTTGACATGCTTCTGCTACATACACGCACTTTCTATGTCCACTCAAGCCCTTGTCGAGTCGGCTCAGAAATGTGACCTTGTAGTACTCCTACTGCTGTAGAGTAATACTCTTTGATGCCAGTGCAAAAAATGGCTAAATGTGACCTTTGTACTCCTACTGCTGTGTTTTGAGTCGACTCAAAACACGAAATGTATGTGACCTTGTACTCCTACTGCGGTGCTCTATGCCTTTTTAGACTTTCCCACTCTTCCCCACCTCCCTATCCCTCTCCCAGGTACATCTGCTACGTGGTTGGCATTCTTTGGCTTATTCCCATGCCCCACGAGATTGTGGGAACGACAGCATACAGATGGGGCTACAAGGTAACGACTCCCAAAACTGGGGATCAAAAGTGTATAAGTGTAACTAACCCTCTTCCCTACCTTCCGATTTCAAACAACTTAAAATGTTCTGACAGTGGACGAACAACAAACTTGTTTAGAAAATAAGGTCTTCATCTGCTATCTATCTAGTCAGCAGTGTTGTTGCCTCACTCACTCGATCATCCTCACCCTTGCTTGTCAGTTTCACAACCTTATGCTCATCGTCAACTGGTGTTTCTTAAGCTGCCCTGCCATAGCACCTGACTGTTAATTGTTGACATGACATGGGTCGCAGCCCCTCAACGACTCACATGCCCCACTCACATGCCCCACTCACATGCCCCACTCACTTGCGCCACTCCTTTCGCTCGGCCCTCACTCTCTCAGGTTCTCAACCGTGATTTTGTCGCGGCCTTCCATCGACGAGGGGTATGTGTAATCGCTTTTGGGAATGTGCGTTTCGGAATTTTGTGGAGGATACTATTAGGAACCCCTTTTTTAGAGACCCTTTTGAGAGTTGTCCAAAGGGTTAGCTTCTTTGAAGACTTGTCAAAAGGGATACCTGCATCAAATTGTTTCAGCCTTTCATCAGCGGAGTGTACCTATGTGTCATCCCCTTTTTTATTTTCCCCTTATTTCGACATAGCCTTTGCCATGATTCTCCTGAGACTATCTCACCTCTCCTCCTTTTTTGCTCCTGCGTTTTTCTTCCTTTCCTGCTTTACGACCCCTCCCCTGCTCTCTCCTCACTCTCGCTCTCCCCCTTCCTAACCCGTCAACTCATGCAGCGGTGGGTGTCGGTGTTTGGAGATTACCTCGACCACAGGGAGGGACAGGTGAGGCGTGGGAGGGGCAGGTGGGGCATGGGGGAGGTGGGGCATGGGGAGGGGCAGGTAAGGCGTAGGGGAGGTGGGAAGGGAGCGAAGGATTGGGTGGTTGGGAGGGTGGCCCCAAGTCACTCATGCAGCGGTGGGTGTCGGTGTTTGGGGATTCCCTCGACCACAGAGAGGGGCAGGTGAGGCGTGGGAGGGGCAGGTGGAGGGTGGGAGGAGAGGAGGGGGCAGGTAGGGGTTGGAAGGGGCAGGTGGGGAATGGGAGGGGAAGGTGCACGTGGATGGGATATGAGAGAAAGAGGGGCCAGGTTTCATCCTTCCCACCATCTGCACGGGTATGGGGTGTGAGATGCTCTTTTGGGGCCACCCTAACACTCTCGTTTGGTCTGTTACATCTCTCAAGAACCGCCTTTCGTTTGCTCCTCCTGCAAGAGAATGGGCAAGAGCCCTCTTAATACATATGTACCATACAGTACCGTACTGTGCCCATTCTCTTGCAGGAGGACTGCATGGCCATGGGGTGTAGCATGCTCTTCTCTGACCGCCCTGACATTCTCAGTTGGTTTGCTTGAGCTCTCAATAACCGCCGCCACTCTCTCATACCTCTATTCCGTGCCCCTGCCACATGCTCGTGCCCCTGCCACATGCTCGTGCAGGAGTGCATGGCCATGGGGTGTGACATGCTCTTCTCTGACCGCCCTTGCATGTTCAGTTGGGTTGATCATTAATACCTTGATATTACCGTGCCCATGCTCGTGCAGGAGGACTGCATGGCCATGGGGTGTAGCATGCTGTTCTCTGACCGCCCTGACACTCTCAGTTGGGTTCTTTGAGCTCTCAACTCCCCCCACCACTCTCTATCCATCTGTACTGTACCGTGCCCATCCTCTTACAGGAGGACTGCATGGCCATGGGGTGCGACATGCTGTTCACTGACCGCCCTGACATTCTCTGTGACACCTTGGCTAGCCAGCAGTCATCATGACATCATGGCTGGCCTGCAATCATCATGACACCATGATACCGTTGTGGCACCATGGCATTCAAGCCAGCCAGCAGTCATCATGATACCATGGCTGTCCAGCAGTCATCATGACATCATGGCTGGCCTGCAATCATCATGACATCATGACACCGTAGCCAGTGTACCATCGCGGCACCATGACATCTAAGCCAGCCACCTATCATTATGAGACCATGGCCAGCTTGCGCTCATCCTGACAAAACTTTTTCTATGCCGTTGTATATAGCAAAGATTTTCAACTTTTGTGCCGATGTGAACAGTGTAGTGTGGCACAGGGATAGCAGGAGTAGTACTTGTACCGGTACCATATGAAGGGAGTGAGTTCCAGTGAGAGGCAGTACCGGTAGGTATATGAACTGAGTCATGCTACTGTAGTTTCCAATGTTGTACAAGGGGAAGAGAGGCATCTCACTTGCCATTTCATTATACCATAACAACACCACCAAAGCCAAAGCAGAGTAAAGGATACACACACACACACACACACACACACACACACACACACACACACACACACACACACACACACACACACACACACACACACACACACACACACACACACACGCACACACACATCTAATTCCATTAACTCCCACCACATACCTTACTACCCACTCCACTCCCCTCAGTGGGACCCTCACCCCCTCTGACTCCTAATTCCCCTTAAATTCGTTCCATCGGTAGATGGACGGTGTATATCACTTTGTAACTACAAACTGCCCACGCACAGCGCCGTCAGGATATTTCACGGTGTGAATGTTCCCATAGAACCCACTCGGGTTCTTCCGAATCGCATCGAGAGTCGACACAAGCGTCGCTGTCCGTTCCGCCAAATTCTTCCCGAGCACGCCTTTGCAGCTCCAGGCAGCGAGGCTCTCATCGAATTGGTATGCGCACGGCAGGTCCAGCACCTTGGGACCGTTGGATCCCTCTGTTGCGTTGTGCACATGCGTCGCGGTCGGTGGCATCTCGCCCTCCATGTCAAAAGTTGCCACTGTGTAATCTAGCCACACAGGCTTGCCATTTTGCCTGAACATCACACATCAGAGAAACAGCGGTTGACCTCGACGTCATCATGTGCGCATCAAATGACAGATTTGAGCTTTGAACATGGGGCGAGACACCTGGTATCATCAGGGCACCCAATGGCTGTCCGCTGTTAAGGCCGCGAATTCAGGCCTGAAAGACTCACTTGTAGATATTCAGCCTCATGGTCACCATTCCGCTTGGGTCGCCGACGGCGTTCCTGGCAGCTTCTGAGTCATTCTTGGGAATCTCGAGATTGCCATACAGGGTGGCATCGAAGGGGTCTGATGAAAAAGAAACCGAGGAGGAGAAGGGGAGAGGAGGAAAGATCAAGGCGGATGGGGAGGGGAAGGTGGGGAGGTGGGAGGGGATGATGGGGGTGAGATTGGAGCTTCGCGGGGAGACATTAAAAAAAAAAGAGGGTGAGTTCAGGTTGGAAAGTCTCGCGCCATTCGAATTTCGGAGTGACGTTGAAATTCAACGTGGGCTTAAGGTGTTCATACGGGGGAGATGTTTTGGATATGCAAAAATAGAATTATTGAACTGACCGTAGGGAGAGCTCTTTCTGGGAACGGGCTTCTTCTTTTTGGCGGTGGCAACCGCCATCAGCGCCGCTGCAAGAAACGCTGCAACGAAGCACACACACACACGACGAGTTGCGAATTAGCGATCGGGTTACAATGCCAGGTTGGCAGCTGGCGAGCAATGAGTTTGGATTGCACCGGCATTGGTGCCGCGGACCCTCGTCAAGGATAACGCTTACCAAATAGTAACACCGAACGAGCACGAATGAAGGCCATGATGTAAAAAGGAGTCAACTGGAAATCGGCTCGCAAGAAGGAGCGAGCTACTGCTTCTAGTGGAAAGGTAAACGGAATGCAGAACTGGATGGGTTTGTAAGGACTGAAATCACCTTCATTTATAGTCACTTTGAGGCTCGGAGATGGAAGGACTAGATATACCCGGCGTTACGGTTGAAGGTGGGAATTGACGGACGGGATGATAGGAGATTCCGCAAAGGTATCTCAGCCGAGCGATGATTCAATGTCAAACTCGGAGGTGATTCGGGACGCATCGGTACCATCAATAAGGCGGGCGAGCGCATCAGTCGGAATGACATCGGTGTCGAATCAAAATTCGTCATTCTTGCCAACGACTGTGAAGTGCTGAACTCTGGCATGTTATTGGCCGCAACCCGATAATACCAGCTCTAAGAGAAAAGAGGTGACCTACGATTGGCTAATCCGAGAAAGCTATAATGTAGGGTGACGCGTTGATAAAGCTCGCTCGAGTCAATCGCTGGTCGAGCCAAGCCATGGCGGAAAGCAGGGTGGGTGGAATCAGTGAGGGAATGGAAGCAAAGCGGAGGAGGAAAACTAAGCCATCGATGTGCAACAAGTCTCCCCACAAAAAATCGTGGTTTTGGTTCTCTACCGCTTCTGAACGTAACGCACCAGAATAGACCGAGGTAAAGTGTGTGAATTGTGTTTGACCATCATCGAGTGGACCCTTGTGCTTCTTCGCCTACAGCAGCGGTGAAATTCGGTTTTCGACATTTCACCGTGTGTGCTGTGCGATGCAGCGGATGTCAAGACTATCACGAAGTGGTAACCCTGCGAGGTCGGTCACCGAGCCTGTCAAGCTAACGCGTCCCTAGCTGTCACTAGCCCAATCAGAGTATCTGCCAAAGCTCGAGTTAGGGAGGAGAAGGCGGTGGCGCTTTCTTCTGGATCTTGGGCACTATTGCTTATCGCGTAAATCCCACATGTTTACTAGAACATCAAACACAATACAGTTGCTTATGAAGACTGAGAACATGAAATGTTCGGCAATCAATGTTCTTGCCCGTTTGCAATATTACTACCTTATCAACAGAACTTCTGTTTATGTGCATCGCATGCCTCCATAATGCTGTAATGTTGAAGCCAGTAGCAGTTGTGGCATAATGAGAATATTGGGCAGTCTGAACAGATGGACTAGGGCACATCATGAAGCATATCCACTCAACATGCGCATGCGTAAACTTCGTAAATTTTGTACCTTGGGCCTGGTTTGTCTGTGGCCGGCGTCTGGTCTGGTATTTATTAAAAAGCAGAGTAGTATTCCATACAAAATTTCACAGCCCACCCTTATGAAAATTCCTAAAAGCTCACGTTGAGCTCACCCTTTTATGAATTCTGAGGAGCTCGCAACTCACCCTGCCACCACCTCTCTTCTCTTCTGCACCACAATAGTAGACCAAAGAATACCACAGGAAATGATGGCGAGAGGGGAGAGCGAACGGAGGAATTTGACTGTGTTTATACAAACGAACCTGTGCTACATGTGACTAAACAAACGAAGCTGTCTTTATACAGACGAACCTGTCTTTATATACGCGAACATGTGTTACCTTTGTTCATACAAACGAGCCTGTTTTTATGCATGCGAACCTGTGTTACCTGTGTTGATACAAACGAGCCTGACTTCATAAAAAGGACATGCGTTACCTGTCTTTATACAAACAAACCTGTGTTTATTGCAAACAAACTAGTGGAAGTAGCATTGCAGCTGCAGCATGAGCAAGCTAGTAAACAGGCTGTGGCGCGCATGTGGAGACACATCCCGTAATGCTTCCATCTGTGAGACAGGCGTCATTACTCAGAATGCCCTTGGGTGGTAACCCGGACCATGGGATTGCGTGGTCCTGGTAACATACCTGGTACTGATTCGATGCATACCTGCTACCACATGGTATTGCATGTTACCACACGCTACCACATGGTACTGCATGCAACCGAAAGCTACCACATGCTACCGCATGGTACTGCATTGTACTATTAGCGCACCTGGCATTCCAACACACCTGGCACCACATTCTACCATATAATACTGCATTGTAGAACAAGGAACCGCATGGTGCCGCATTGGACCAGTGACGCATCTAGTACTGCTTGAGGCCGGTGCGGGAGAAGGCATCAATGACCCGGCACGCCAGCTCTGCTCTCCCCACATGCTACCACAGAACATCACAATGTACTGCATTTTAACGCACTGTACCGCACTGCGCACCTGGTACTGCTCAAGGCCAGTGCGGGAGAAGGCATCAATGACCCGACACGCCAGCTCTGCTGTCCACATGATATACTGCACCATACTGCACTGCACCGTATCGCACTGTACCAATGACACACACCTGATACTGCTCAAGGCCAGTGCGGGAGAAGGCATCGATGCCAGCTCCGCTTTCCCCACATGCTACCACATAATATCACAATGTACCGCATTGTACCGCGCTGTATTCTGGCGCACCTGGAACTGCTCAAGGCCGGTGCGGGAGAAGGCATCAATGACCCGGCATGCCAGCTCTGCTCGCTCCAACGCCTCCACGTACTTGAGGGCTGGTGGGTAACATTGGGTTATGTGCGGTGGTTCGGAGTGGTGAGCGGTGATGAGCGGTGGTGTGGACTGAATGTTGTAACAGCAGGGCAACCACTCTACACACACTGCCCTCTCCAACACCTCCACGTACTTGAGGGCTGGTGGGGTGCAATTCGGTGATGTATGGTGGCGATGAATGGTGAGCGGTGAAGAGCAGTGATGTGCGGTGATGAGCAGAGATGTGGAGTGATGTGGAGTGATGTGCGGTGATGTGCGGTGATGTGCGGTGATGTGCAGTGGCGTGCAGTGGTGTGGAGTGATTGAAAGAAGGGCATTTGTTGATGGAGTCGGTGTGTGAGAGATGGGGCAACCACCCTAACTCCCTCTGATCAATCAATGCCTAGTGCATGCCTGATGGTGTGCCGAGATGTGCAGAGGCGTGCGGCGATTTGTACTGGTGGTGTGCAGTGATGCGAGCAAGGTGCTGTGCGGTGGTGTGCGGTGATGATATGATAATGTTGTTGGGTAATGTAACCATGTGGAATGCAATGCCACATGCCTCCCATTGGTTGCATTGACATACCCATGCTGTGCCCATGCCCCATGCTCATACTCATACCCATACACATGCCCATGCTCATACCCACACCCATGCCCACATGCCTCCCTCACCTCTGATCCGCCCTGTGGCAGGGAGGCTTCACATGTGATCATCACCTGAACTGCCTGACAACCGCTTAGTCTCACTTCACCCCATGCTCATGCCCCTCCCTCACCTCTGATCCGCCCTGTGCCTTCACATGTAATCATCCCATCCACTGCCTCTCTCCCACAACCGCCTATTTACTCCACCCCTGCCCATGCACGAACACCAGTCCTAGCCTGTTTTGACGCATCAGCACCCATGGCCATGACCCAGCCCCACCTCTGATCCGCCCTGTGGCTTCACATGTGATCATCCCATCCACTGCCTCTCTCCCACAACCGCCTATTTGCTCCTCAATCCGCACATGCCCACACACCATTCCTACCTTTGATCGCCCCACTGCCCGTCCCTCACCTCTGATCCGTTATGTGGCTTCACGTTATCATCCCCTCCACCGCCTCTTCCCCACCACTGCTGCGCGCTGCTCCTGCTGCTACTGCTCATACCCATACGCCATGCCCGCACACCGCTCTCACCTCTGATCCGCCCTGTAGCTTCACACGTGATCATGCCATCCACTGCTTCTTGCCCACTGCTGCTACCTTGTCTTGAGACATCAATAGTACCCATGCCCATGCCCATGCCCATGCCCATGCCCATGCCCATGCCCATGCCCATGCCCATGCCCATGGCCCTCCCTCACCTCTGATCCGCCCTGTGGCTTCACATGTAATCATCCCATCCACTGCCTCTTGCCCGCTGCTCCCTGCTGCTGCTCCTACTGCTGCCGCCCCAGCCAGTCCAGTGGGCACTGTAGCGAGCACTGTGCCATCCGGTGCTAGCGGGCAGTTGGCGAACACTGTGCAGAGGGTGGCAGACGCTGTCTGTAGTGATGGGGAGGAAGAGAGGAGGGGGGAGGTCAAGGAGAGGTAAGGAACATAAGGGAAAGTCAACGAGAATCGAGTCAAGGAAAAAATCAAGGAAACTCACAATTAAGTCAAAGATAAACAAGGCAAGACTAAAGAAGGTCAAGGAAAATCAAGGAAAGTCAAGGAAATTGAAGGATATTGAAGCGGCTCCTAGGACAGGTAAGGCCTGGGGGACGCTCGCTCACCTGCTGCTCCTGCTTGGTTGGGTCGAGCAGCAGTTGACCTTGGGAGTCCAGGGCCAGCTGCACTGCCGCTGTGTGTATGGATATGGGGAGGCGGGAGGGAAGGGGCGTGTGCAACTTTTGAGGCGCCTCAAAAGTCGCAGCAGTTGACCTTGGGAGTCCAGGGCCAGCTGCACTGCCGCTGTGTGTATGGATATGGGGAGGCGGGAGGGAAGGGGCGTGTGCAACTTTTGAGGCGCCTCAAAAGTCGCAGCAGTTGACCTTGGGAGTCCAGGGCCAGCTGCACTGCCGCTGTGTGTATGGATATGGGGAGGCGGGAGGGAAGGGGCGTGTGCAACTTTTGAGGCGCCTCAAAAGTCGCAGCAGTTGACCTTGGGAGTCCAGGGCCAGCTGCACTGCCGCTGTGTGTATGGATATGGGGAGGCGGGAGGGAAGGGGCGTGTGCAACTTTTGAGGCGCCTCAAAAGTCGCAGCAGTTGACCTTGGGAGTCCAGGGCCAGCTGCACTGCCGCTGTGTGTTTATGAATATGCGGAGGCGGGAGGGAAGGGGCGTGTGCAACTTTTGAGGCGCCTCAAAAGTCGCAGCAGTTGACCTTGGGAGTCCAGGGCCAGCTGCACTGCCGCTGTGTGTTTATGAATATGCGGAGGCGGGAGGGAAGGGGCGTGTGCAACTTTTGAGGCGCCTCAAAAGTCGCAGCAGTTGACCTTGGGAGTCCAGGGCCAGCTGCACTGCCGCTGTGTGTATGGATATGGGGAGGCGGGAGGGAAGGGGCGTGTGCAACTTTTGAGGCGCCTCAAAAGTCGCAGCAGTTGACCTTGGGAGTCCAGGGCCAGCTGCACTGCCGCTGTGTGTATGGATATGGGGAGGCGGGAGGGAAGGGGCGTGTGCAACTTTTGAGGCGCCTCAAAAGTCGCAGCAGTTGACCTTGGGAGTCCAGGGCCAGCTGCACTGCCGCTGTGTGTTTATGAATATGCGGAGGCGGGAGGGAAGGGGCGTGTGCAACTTTTGAGGCGCCTCAAAAGTCGCAGCAGTTGACCTTGGGAGTCCAGGGCCAGCTGCACTGCCGCTGTGTGTTTATGAATATGCGGAGGCGGGAGGGAAGGGGCGTGTGCAACTTTTGAGGCGCCTCAAAAGTCGCAGCAGTTGACCTTGGGAGTCCAGGGCCAGCTGCACTGCCGCTGTGTGCATGGGTGGTGTGTGCATGGGTGGTGTGTGCATGGGTGGTGTGTGCATGGGTGGTGTGTGCATGGGTGGTGTGTGCATGGGTGGTGTGTGCATGGGTGGTGTGTGCATGGGTCGTGTGTGCATGGGTCGTGTGTGCATGGGTGGTGTGTGCATGGGTGGAGTGTGCATGGGTCGTGTGTGCATGGGTGGTGTGTGCATGGATGGTGTGTGCATGGGTGGTGTGTGCATGGGTGGTGTGTGCATGGGTGGTGTGTGCATGGGTGGTGTGTGCATGGGTCGTGTGTGCATGGGTGGTGTATGCATTGGAAGATGTTTGTGGCGCTTAAAATCAGAATGACAGAGACTGAGTGCCATGTGTGTGTAGTGGGTGGTGTATGCATGGGTTGTGTGTGCATGTTTGGTGTGTGGGTAGTGTGTGCATGGGTGATGGGATGTGTGTGCATGGGTGATGTGCGCATGTGACCACGTTCCCATGTGTGGTAGTCCGGTTGACCAAACTGCCTGCAGCTGCAGTACCCGTACTCTCCTCGCCACTGCAGGACCAGGCATCACTGCACCGCACTGCATCGATCTCAACCCACCTGCAGCTGCAGCTGTATTCTCGTGCGCGGCAGCAGCGACGACAGCAACACCGCATCCACCGTCTGCCGCACCACCGCCTCGCTGTACTTCTCCTGTGCGCCTGATGTTGGGGTAGAGGGGAAAGGAGATCAGTCAGGACGAAGGGGATTGAAGCGATCATGACAGGGGGCATGGACGACAGCAGCACCGAGTCCACCGTCTGCCGCACCACTGCCTCGCTGTACTTCTCCTGTGGGCCTGGCGATGAAGGGGGGAAGAGGGGAAGGGGGGAAGGGGGGGGTAGTGATTGGACAGCGGTCGCAGTGGGAGTGATGGGGGAGGCGAGGGGGTTGAGGAAGACATGGGGCCACTGGGGTAGGACGACAGCAGCAGCACTTCTCCTGGTTGAGGCCACTGTCTGGCGCACCGAGGCAAGGCAGCACAGACAGGCCACTGTGTGCCGCACCGAGACAAGGCAGCACAGACAGGCCACTGTGTGCCGCACCGAGGCAAGGCAGCACAGAGAGGCCACTGTGTGCCACACCGAGGCAAGGCAGCACAGAGAGGCCACTGTCTGGCGCACCACTGCCTTGGTTGGACCAGTAGTCCATTCATCTGAGAGCACCCTTAGCTCCTCACTCCTGCAGCCACGCTTGTTATAGTCACACCACGACAGGAACACCACCACACCATCAGTACAGTCACACCATTACAGTCACACCATTACAGTCGCACTATTACAGTCACACGGACCTGCGATGCCGTTCCTGGGAGCCCATATGACCTGCAGGGAGGCTCTCCGAGGGTCCTCCTTCCCCCCCCTGCCCCACTTATGCTGCTGCTGCTGCTGCAGGAACAGCAGCAGCGTTCCACTAACAAACTCACTGCTCGTTACAGTCACACGCACCTGCGATGCCGTTCCTGGGAGCCCATATGACCTGCCGGGAGGCTCTCAGAGGGTCCTCCTTGCCCCCCTGCCCCACTGCTCCCCCTCCCCCCGCCAGCCCCCCTCCCGCCGCGCCCATCCCCCGCGGCCCATACACCCCTGCCACCACACATGTGTCCCCTGCAAGGGGTTAGGGGTTTAGGGGGGTTAGGGGGGAATGAGGGGAGGAAATGGGAAGATTCAACTGAACCACGCCCATCCCCCGCGGCCCATACACCCCCGCCACCACACACGTGTCCCCTGCAAGGGGTTTAGGGTTTTTAGGGGATTAACGGGAGAAGGGGGGTTAGGGAGGGCATGGAGATTAGGGGGGGGATTGAGGGGAAGAATGAGGAGATTCAACTAAACCCACGCCCTTCCCCCGCGGCCCATACACCCCCGCCACCACACACGTGTCCCCTGCAAGGGGTTTAGGGTTTTTAGGGGATTAACGGGAGAAGGGGGGTTAGGGAGGGCATGGGGGTTAGGGGGGGGATTGAGGGGAAGAATGAGGAGATTCAACTAAACCCACGCCCTTCCCCCGCGGCCCACACACCCCCGCCACCACACACGTGTCGCCTGCAGTAGGGGCTGTTGAGGGGTGGGAGAAGGAGGAGGGGGGGGCTAAGGAGGGCTTAGGGGGGCTTAGAAGGGAGTGCGAGGAAGAAGCGGAATGGTCTGAGTGACCCACGCCCATCCGCCGCGGTCTTTACACCCCCGCCCCCACACACGTGTCACCTGCAGGGGTTTCTAGGAGAGGGGGGTTGGGTGGGGAGCGAGTTTAGGCGAGAAAGGGTGTGTGAGAGGGGAAAAAACGGGAGATTCTATTAAACCACCCCCCCGCGGCAGATACAGTCCTGAGTGACCCACGCCCATCCGCCGCGGTCTTTACACCCCCGCCCCCACACACGTGTCACCTGCAGGGGTTTCTAGGAGAGGGGGGTTGGGTGGGGAGCGAGTTTAGGCGAGAAAGGGTGTGTGAGAGGGGAAAAAACGGGAGATTCTATTAAACCACCCCCCCGCGGCAGATACAGTCCTGCGACCACCCACGTGTCGCCTGCAAGGGGCTCTGGAGAAAGCGATAGAGAGAGGGAGTGGGTTTGGCGGAGGGCGGGACTGGGGGCCGGGCGGGTGGTGAGGGTGGGCCGGGGGAGCGGGGAGAGAGAACGAGGGGATTTGGGGGCGGGGAGAGGAGGGCGGGGGTGCGAGGAAAGAACGAAGAGTCGCGCATTCAGTTGTGAAAAAATCTCGTGCACGCTGGGCGCGTGAGAATAACGAGCGAGACGTTCTTTTGAGGCGCCTCAAAAGTCGTGAAGATATCTCGTGCACGCTAGGTGCGTAAGAATAACGAGCGAGACGTTCCCGCCGAGCTTCGTGCAGGGAGCATTATACCCTTCACGCAGCTCCGGTAAGCGTCTCGCTCGTTACAATCACGCACCTAACGACCACCTCGCAGAGCCGGGCTTTGGGACGTCGCAAGACTCGCTCGTTATAGTCACGCACGCACCTAGCGACCACCTTGCGGAGCCATCGGCGCGGCACAGCGGACCCCGGCTGGCGAGCATTGGTCGCAGCTGCGTCGCCGTGCGACCGTCTGGTCGCGCTGGATAAGAGAACGGCGCATCGTTGGTCATGATAAGAAATTACGAACGCAGAAGGCGAATAAACGAGAAAATACTATCTAAAATGTTTCCGACACGGCGGTACCAAGCTGACAATATCGACTACGGCGGAGAAAGCAAACACTGGCAGTAACAGCAAGCAGTCGGACTAGAATTGCTGGTTGGAGGGCTTGGCGCGCAGCAACTGAAATTCATGCTTATAAGTCGCTGACGTAAGAGAACAACGCCTGTTGAGGAAAATGTTGTGCAGGGAGCACGGAACTCCTGGTAAAACAGTCAATCATATTACCAAAACAAAGGCAAAACAAAATTAAAAAACACTATACCAGCCACCAGGTAGCGCATTCAACAAGCTCGATATATTAACATGATTATGCTTGCGTGTATATTCTATGTCCATCACGTTTCCCATTTCAATCATCTCAATAATCACAAATATATTCAAGGCTTGTCAAACCAGGCTTAATTCATGCATAACTTCTGTTGAGATAATATCGAGACTTAAGCACTTCAAGGAATTCGTGTAGTACAGTTAGTACAGTGCGAGACTTCGCACGTAATAGTAAAGTATCGATAGGATGACGTCAGCAAAGCGCTACGCGCCCTAGGATGAAGTCAGCAAGTAGTTGTAGGCCTCGCGAATAGTCACGTACCGTTTCATAACAGGAATAGCGTGAATAACACAGTACAGTAGGCGAATAGGTACTTTACTCTAGCTATATATTCTGTATGCTTTTCATTTTTTAATATACTTGATTTCAGATATATCGATCCTGAAACGTATCACTACATGGGCTTTACATACTAGCCCATACAAAGCCTCCTACATTGGCTTTAACTCATACAAAGACTTCCACTGCAACAGGAAGCTACCATCCTAAGTATACGATCCTATTCAGTCATTTCAAATTCTAACAACTTCAATCTAGTTTTTTCGTGACATGATTTCTGTTGAGATAATGTCGAGACTTATGCACTTCAAGGAATTCGTATAGTTAGTACAGTAAAAGTACCGATAGACTGACGTCAGCAAAGCGCTACGCGCCTTAGGATGGCGTCATCAGTAGCTGTAGGTATCGCGAATAGTCACGTACCTTTTCAGAACAGGAATAGCGCGAATAAATACAGCACAGTAGGCGAACAGGTACTTTAGTCTAGCTATATATTCTGTATGCTTGTCATTTTATAATATACTTGATTTCAGAGACCTTTGATCCTGTTACAAGTCACTCATATAAAAGACTTCCACTGCTACAGGAAGCTACTATCCTAAGACTACGATCCTATTCAAACAGCTCAGATTCTAACATGGTATGAGAGCAACTTAGGATTAAAACAGCTTCCATCTGCCTATTCTACAACTATGTCTGGATCTCCAAGGTCCAACAATGGCTCTTCTGTTACGAGCCTATCACGCCCAACTGCGTCTCCAGCTGCTGATAATTCACATCTGCAGCAACAACAACAACAATATCAGCAACAACCGATGTACGGCATGCCATTGAGCAGTCAGCCCGTACACACAACTACAGCAGCGGCATCATCGACAGCAGCCGCCGCGACAGCAGCATCAGCAGCCTCAACAGCTGCAGCTGCAGTCCCTGGTTCTTCAAGTCAACCGGGACAACAGTCTAACTTCGTTCCGACTGGACCTTACCAATATCAAGGTGCTTACCAACCAGCAAATCTTCAACAACGTGTTAATGCTGCCGTCTTGTCGCTTAACCAGATGTTTCCAACTCCGATGACCATTGATGGCTCCAGTTATCAGCGTGGTCAGATGCCACAAGGAAGTGATGGGTCGAACAACTCTTTCTCCTTTGGTCCTGCTGGACAAGGACAACAAACACAACAAGGGTCACAAGCGCCATCACTCTATCAGCTACAATCAGCTGACGGTACCGGAAGTTATATTCCTGCTTCTACAAATCCTACAAAAATCAAAACGACAATGCCTTTTAACGGTCAAGATTTTTATACCTGGAGCTTTGAGTTTGAGCTTCTTGTTCAGACCGCGGGGTTCTGGCAGCTGTATGACGGCACAGCACCATTTCCATCACACGGGTCACCACTTCAACAAGCCACTTTTCGATCGGCGTCGCTGACTGCATACACAGTTCTCGTTCGTAATCTGACTCCGACTGAACAGCTCGGAATTCGTTCTTTTCGTAACAGTGTCGCTCCCGCTGAAGCAGCTTGGTTATACCTGCAAGGGGTTCACATGGCAAAAGATACTGTCAACCAGAGTAAAATTTTGACGCAGCTGTCAAATATACAGATGATAAACGGCGAGAAGGTGACGCAGTATATTAACCGCGCTCGAAATCTGCGCGATCAACTTCAGAAGTGTGGAGGGTACTTCCCCGACGCTATGTTCCACACGGTGCTACTTGCGGGTCTTGGACCAGAATGGCGACAGTGTCGCTCTATACTTCGGATGCAAGCACAGTTGTCCGAGGGGGCACTCTGTGCCGCTCTCATCGCCGAGCAGCAGGATATGGATCTGCACAACGCTCGAGGAGGGAAAAAGATGGTAAACAATACAGTCAGTTTTTATTCTAATCCACGTCACAAGCCCGTTTGTTCTTTTTGTCGAAAACCAGGACACACTATTGATACCTGCTGGTCGAAAGACAAACCATCTTGGAAGCGGTCTGCTTCGAAACATAATAAAGATTCTTCAAGTGAAGCAGAGAAGCCGGAAGTAGAGAAGCCGGACGCTGAGAAGCAGAATACTGCGAAGCTGAACTCTGCGAAGCCGACTACTGCACCTGCCAAGACACAAACAAAAGCAGTTATTAATTGCATGACATCAGTGTCAACGGTTTATGATCTTGATGCTGAAGAGCGGATTCACAACCGGTTCAACAACGAACTCAACACACCGATTCCACCTGAGGTCTATGCAAATCTTGCACATACCATTGCAGGTCCCAATACTTGGTACCTCGACAGTTGCTGCGGTCAGCACATGTGTTCGTCAGAGACACGTTTCATCGTGAATCAACGCCGTCTGGAGAATCCCGTTGTCGTCATGGTCGCCAATAACCAACGACTTACAGCTCATTGGATGGGAAGTATTGTTCTGGACTCAGTTGAAGAATACTTCAGTCTTCACCTGAACGAAGTTCTTCTGGTCCCAAGGCTTGGCTTCAACCTCATGTCATCTGCACAACTCATGAAGAACGGGATTATACTTCTCGGTGAACCTGGAAAATTCACTCTGAAATACGGTGAAAAGAAACTTGGCACGGCAGTTGAGCAAAACGGTGTTTTCGTTTTGAACTTCATACCTGAGCATACTACTGCTGACTCTGATAACATTCTCTCGCTTGGTCCTTGGGAGCATCGTGATGATATTGATTACACCGACGATACAGTTCCACGTGAGGGAGTTGTCCCGACGTCTTCAACCACGACTGCCGCCGTCATGTTGACCTTTGACGATCAAGGCTTGAATGATGTTGAGAACTTTCGGGAGTACATGGCTGCAGTTGAAGGTTGGGGTGATCCGACGAACATGCCGACTGATGACGGCATCTGGGGGGCTGACGAACCTGATGAAACAACTTGGGGCGAGACACCTGCTGAACGCGATGCTCGTCTTCTCACTGAAGCTGAACAACGCGTCGCTGAAATGGAGATTCTTGACTCGGGTCGTCTCGTTGGAGTTGAACCTGTACCTGCAGCATCCGATCAAGAAAGCGGCGAGTTAGTACTTGCTCCAGGCAAGTACGTGGATGTTGAGGTTCGTGTTCCACCACCAAATCTTACTCGTTACGTCGCACCTGCTTTCGATCAGATCCGCTCCGATGGTCATCAGCTTCTGTTGTCGTTCTTCGCTAACGCCGAGTACTATCTGCGCGCACAAGGTCACAAAGCCACGGGAGAAACATGGCATAAACGACTTGGTCATCCGTCGCATTTTACGCTAAACAACACGATCAAGGCTGCAGTGCTTGACAAAAATTTGTTACTCTTACCGAGCGGTCTCGAACTGAAGCCGGTGAATCGCCCGGCACCCTGCACCATCTGCCCTGCGGCAAACCTACCGCACGAGCCGTTCCCGACTCAT